GCGTGGGCGCCTTGGCGTTCTTCCGCACCAGGTGCCGCCGCACCCCGGGGACGTCCTCAAACCGGTGGCCTGGGGGTGAAGACGCGTCAGGCGCCCGCGCGGGGCCCCACTCCACCAGCCCGGCCGGCCCGGGCCGACTCACTCTTCATGAGGTCCAGGTCGGCTGTGGCCAGCGTCTGGGCCTCGCTCTCGTCCGTGGGCACGCGGGGCAGCAGCGCCTGCTCGGCCCCCGTCATGCTCCCGATGCGCCGTCTCTCCTGCAGGTTGTAGCTGCGGTGCCCGGGCTGGGCCTTGGCCAGGGGGCGCCCCGAGGCACCCCCATCGTCTCCTCCGGCAGTGCCACTGGCCACAGCCACCACCTCTTCCACTGGGGCTCTGAGCAGACAGAGGTCGGGGGTCAGGAGACCGGCCCACTCCGTGGCCCCGAGCCCCAGGGGGGCGAGCCAGGCCGGGGGCCCACGGGCCCGCCCCGCCCCGCACGCTGACCAGGCACCGGGGTGAAAGGGGGTGCGTTCCAGCAGCCTCCAGGATGCAGCCTCCACCCCGGCCCTGCCGGGCCTGGACCCCAGGCCCTCACACGCCAGCAGGACGAAGCTCCTCTGCAGCACGATGTCGCCCAGGCTGGCCCGGGGGCGGGGGCCGGGACGGCTGGAAAAGCCCCGAAGCTCCCTGCTCCCCACGGCTGTGCCCTGGCCCCTCCTCCCCTTCTTACCCCTGGCCTGGACCGGAAGGGCATGGACCCCAGGGGGCAAAGAGCTCTGTGAAACTACAGCCCTCCCCCCCAAACTCCTTGTCCTTTACAGACCCCAGCTTCTACTCCTGTACCCCCAAACCAGAAGGCCCCTTTCACCCCACAGCAGCCAGGCCCTCTAAACAACTCCCCTGGCACAGCCCAGGCTCCTGGTGCCAGCCCCCACCAGAGCCCTCCAGCCGGCGTCCTCCGCCCACGCCCATGCCACCCGCTGCCCGGGCTCGGCACGCCTGTGCCCAGTGTGACCCACTTTTCCAAGGCCATGCTCCCTGAGGCACCCGCTCCCTCTGCGGACGGCCGCTGTGGCCCCTGTGGCCCTGCTCCGCCAGCACCGGCGTCTCCCTGGCCGGCTCGCGCGGGCCCTGGAGGGGCAATGCGCCCTTCACGCTGCCGGGCACCCAGATACAACAGGGCTGTGATAACAGTGACCTTGAGGCCCAGCTCAATGTGATTTCCTCCAGGAAGCCTTCTCTGGCTAACACCCCCAAACTGCAGTCACCTGCTGGTACTGACACGGTGCCCGAACGTGGCGCCGGGCACACTAATTTGTTCCGGTGCCGTTTCACGTGACGACAGCCAGGGTGACTGGCAGCTTCCCAGGAGCAGGATGGGATCTCTCCTGCCCTCACGCCCTGGGACCCAAGGGGGTGCCCACGTCAGGACTCAATGTCACGCCACCTGAAGCCACCGCAGGGAGGTGGCGGCGACGGAACCCCAAGTATGTGCCGGGGCAGCCAAGACGTACTCAGAGCCCTAATTCTCACCGCCCGGTCGCCCCGCTGTCCCCCCCCCCCCAGGGAGCTGTGGCTGGGGAGGTCAGCACCTCCCGGACAGCAGCGAGTCGGCTGAGGTGTGGCGCCCGGGCCTCAGACGCCGCACAGCCTCCCGCGGGCAGCGGCCAGGAGGGCAGGTCTCCGCGCGGAGGGCGACGTACCCGGCCTGGGCGCCCCTGGTGGCCCGAGGAGCTGCCTCCTGGTGGGGCGGCGGTGGTGGGGGCGAGGGGCTGGTCCTTTCCGCCTTCCGGTCAGCACCGTCATCCTCCTGCAGAAAGAACTACAACAGGGCCCCAGTGGGCAGGTGAGGCCGGCCGCACCTCCCGCTGACTGCCCGGCAGCCCTGCTGCTGCTCACCTGCACAGAAGTGGGTGTGGTGGCAGGGGACGGCTGGGCGGGTGCCCGCACGCCCTCGGCCTCGCGGGCCTCATCCTCGTCTTCCTCCCCCTCCTCAATGGTCGGGGTCTCCCCGGTGGGGGCGGCCCCAGGGCGCCGTCGAGGCTTGCGTGGGGGGCCCTGGGGGGTCTTGCGGCGGCGGGTGTCCGGAGGCAGGTGGGTAGACAGCGGGTGGTGGATGTGGTGGGAGGACTGGCGGTGGTCTGCAGGGAGGCGCGCGGCTGAAGGCAGGCCGCCCCCGTGCTGGACAGCGCCCAGGGCCCGCCCCCTCCCCACCCCGCCCCTCACATTCAAAGTCTTCCTCCCCGTAGCTGCGGCCTGGCTCCTCCCCTCCGCGGGACCCCGCCTCCTGCAGGATCTCCTCGAAGCGCTCCACGCCCAGGGTCCGGTGCAGCTCGTCATCCTCCTGCTCCGGGAACCCAGGTGTCCCAGGGCCCAAGGCCTCGGGCTCGGGCTGCGAGGGAACAGAGAGGGCGCGGGGCTGCCAGGAGCTGCAGCCAGAGACCCGCCCGCCCGCGCGGCGCGGCA